GCAGGAGTTATTAGACCACATCAAACTATCAAAGACATAAAAGTATCTTTACCAGGGGGGACGGATTTACCCACTGATTTAGACATTACTAACATTTACGAATTGGTGAAACTCTCAGATATTGCTATATATTATGCTAATGACAACTTAGTGTTTATACTCGCTTTACCTTTAATTTACCAAAATGATTTTATTCTATATAACTTAATACCTGTACCAGTTTGTACTGGAAATGATTGTCTCTATGTTAAACCTAGTAATAAGTATCTAGCTATAAGTAGGACTAAAGAACACTATGCCATGTATGATGAATTTTACTATACACATTGTAAGCACGCTAGAGACTTCCTTTTATGTCCTGAAGGTAATATAATGGGTTACATTAAATTTTATTTTTGGATTTTAAATGAAAATTATAATGAAATTGGATTTAATAGTAAATTTATTTATTTAATTAATATGAAGAAAGATCTAAAATATGTACATATTGCCCGTCATTCTTATTAAAAATAAGACAAGTCGTAACAAAGTAAATGTACTGGAAAGTGTATTTAGAAAGATTTATTTGATACAAATAAATATCTAAATTTAAGTATATCATTTACAATGATAAGATGTTGTTAAACTTTATTTAAATTAAGTTTATTAATGTTTATATTTTTTATTGGTTTTTTATAAAAGTAATTTATTTATTTAGGGTTTTAGTATTTAGTAAAAATTAATTTATAGATTTATAGTTTAATAGTATTGTAAAAGAATTAATTAAATTTTTAAAAGAATATTTTTAGTACCTTTTGTATCAGGGTTAATTAAAATTTTTAATTTTTTTTTAATTTCTCAAAATTTATAGAGTTAATTTTATTATTAATTTATTGTGTTATAAATATTTATAAAATAATATTAGTTTTGAAATTTAATTCGTTATATTATATTTAGTTATTTAAGATTTAAATTTAATTTAAAATTTTAAAAGTTATTTTGATTTTATATATTAATATTTTAAATTTAAATTATTTTAGGGATAAGCTTAAAATTTTTATATAATAATTTATTTATTTTAATAATTTATAGGAATAGAAATTTTTATTTTAAGTTTGTAAAAATTTATTATTTATTTATTTTTAATTTATTATAAATTTATTTATTTTTTTTATTAAATTTTATTAATTAATATTTAATTTTTAGTAATAATGATTAAATTAGTATAATTTATATTTATAAATTATGAATTCGGCAAAAATTATTTTCATCTGTTTAACAAAAACATTGTATTAAGTTTAATTTAATATAGGATCTGCTCAATGATTTATTAAATAGCTGCAGTATTTTGACTGTGCAAAGGTAGCATAATAATTAGTCTTTTAATTGAGGACTTGTATGAAAGATTTGATGAGAAATAAACTTTATTATTTATATAATTAAAATTTTATTTTTAAGTAAAAAAGCTTAAATTATTTAAAGGGACGATAAGACCCTATAAAACTTTATAAATGATAATTTTAATTTTTTTGGATTTATAAATATTTTAATTTTATTATTTATTTTATTGGGGTGATAAAAAAAATTTTTAAACTTTTTTTAAAATTTTACATTATTTAATGAATATTTGAATTAAAATTTTAGTTAAAGGAAAAAGTTACTTTAGGGATAACAGCGTAATTAATTTTTTAAGTTCAAATTTGAAAATTAGTTTGCGACCTCGATGTTGAATTAAGATTAATCTTAGGTGCAAAATTTTAAGTATTAGGTCTGTTCGACCTTTAAATTCTTACATGATTTGAGTTCAAACCGGTGTAAGCCAGGTTGGTTTCTATCTTTTATTAAATAATTTATTTTAGTACGAAAGGATTAAATAATTAAATTAAATTTTTATTAAATGAATTAAATTAATTTAACTATTTTGGCAGATAATTGTGTTAAATTTAGAATTTAATTATATAATTTAAATTATAGATAGTAATTTTTATGTTTATTATAATTATTAATTTTTTGATTTTATTTTTAATAGTTTTTATAAGAGTAGCTTTTTTTACTTTATTGGAACGTAAAGTTTTAGGTTATATTCAATTACGAAAAGGGCCTAATAAGTTTTTTATTAAAGGTATTTTTCAACCTATAGGTGATGGATTAAAATTATTTTTTAAAGAAGTTAATTATCCCACAAATATAAATTTTTTTATTTTTATAATTTCTCCTATAATAGGTTTATTAATTTCTATTGTTTTTTGATTTATTTATCCTTATATTGGTATAAATTATATTATAGGTTTTGGTTTAATTTATATATTTTGTTGTTCAAGTTTAATGGTTTATATTTTTTTAATAATTAGATGATCATCTAATTCTAATTATTCAGTTTTAGGAATAATTCGTTTTATTTCTCAAATAATTTCTTATGAAGTAAGAATAATAATTATTATTATGAATTTAATGTTTTTAATTAATAGTTTTAATTTAAATGATTTTTATATTTATCAAATAAATTCTAAGTTTTTTTTTTTCTTTTTTTAATATTTATTTTATTATTAATTAGATTTTTAGCAGAAATAAATCGTTCTCCTTTTGATTTTTCTGAAGGAGAATCAGAATTAGTTTCTGGTTTTAATATTGAGTTTAGAAGTTTATCTTTTATTTTTATTTTTATATCTGAATATATAAGAATTATATTTATAGGAATATTATTATGTGAAATATTTTTTGGTTTAATAATGAGTAAATTTTATTTAAATATTTTTATTTTAATATTTATATTTTTAGTTATTTGATTACGTGGATTTTTACCACGTTTTCGTTATGATAAATTAATATATTTAATTTGAAAGTTAATTTTGCCTTTATCTTTATTTTTATTTGTTTTTAATTTTTCTATTAAATTATTTAACTTATATCATTAATTTTAGTATTAAGTTAATAGAATTTAATTCTATTTTTTATTTTCAAAATAAATATTTTAAATAAATTAATTAACTAAATTTTATTAAATTAATAATTTATCTCATATTTTTCTAATGTAGAAATTAATAAAAAAGTATGAAAAATAAATTGTTGTAAAAATTTGGCTTGTTGAAATAAAAGGATACTCAACTGGTTGTATTCCAATTCAAGTTAATATTAAAAATGTTATAATAAAGATTCAGAATAAAATTTTATTTATAGGGTAAAATTTATTTCTTAAAAAGTTTTTATTATTTAATATAGGTATAATTAATATAATTAAAATTGACAATATTAAAGCAATAACTCCTCCTAATTTATTAGGAATTGCTCGTAAAATTGAATAAGAGAATAGAAAATATCATTCTGGTTGAATGTGATTAGGTGTAATTATTGAATTTGCTATAACAAAATTATTATGATCATTTAATAAATAAGGGAAAATTAAAGTTAAAATAAAAAATATTCATATAAATAAAATTAATCCAACTAAATCTTTAATTATAAAATAAGGTGAAAATGTAATTTTATCAAAATTTCTATTAATACCTAAGGGATTATTAGATCCTGTTATATGTAAAAAAAAAGATGAATAAAAGTAAATAAAATAATAATAAAGGGTAAAATAAAATGAATTGAAAAAAATCGTGTTAATGTAGCATTACTAATTGAGAAATCTCCTCAAATTCAAATTACAATTGAATTTCCTAAATATGGAATTGCTGATAAAAGATTTGTAATAACTGTTGCACCTCAAAATGATATTTGTCCTCATGGTAATACATATCCTACAAAAGCTGTTATTATAGTTAATAAAAGTAATATTACTCCAATAATTCATGTTATTTTAAAATTAAAGGAATTTATATAAATTCCTCGTCTAATATGAATATAAATTATAATAAAAAATATTGATGCTCCATTAGCATGAAATGAACGAATTAATCATCCAAAATTAATATTACGATTTATATTAATGATTCTTTGAAAAGCTAAATTAATATCTGTTTTATAGTGAAAAGCTAAAAATAATCCTGTTAAAATTTGATTAATTAAACAAATTATTAATAAAGATCCAAAATTTCATATAAAGCTAATTCTAGCAGGTGTTGGTAAATTTAATATTGATGATAAAATTTTAAAAGTTTGAAAAAAAATTTGAATTTTAAAATTGTATTTATTTAACACGAAAAATATTCTAAGTCCAAATAATTAAATTATAAAATTGTGGTAAACGGGTTGTGACTTAGTATTAACTTTGTGGCTGTTCTGCTAGTGCTCGTCGTCTTGGCTGGTGTTCGTCTGATGGACACTTGTCCATCGACGTATTTCGTCGGTTTTCCTATTAGATCCCTCCTATGGCATTTTTAGTATAAAAAATGGTACATAGCTGCGTACACCTGACGTCATTTCGGCGTCCTCTACGAAATAATGTTAATTGGGATTATATGTTTTCAAAGTTATCTATTTTTGTTATTTACGGCTTTTTCGTATTTCCTAGAATATGGATAATGCGCGCGTATACCTATTGCGCTGTACTATTAATCAGTGGCGGTTCTGGGAGTATTTTTTCGGTGAGGCAACCTATGTATCACCCCCCCCCCCACCATACAAAACTAGAATTCACAATAAATATAATTTAAAAACATAAAAATAATTATAATTGTATGAATGCTAATAATATACTTGTTTCGTATAGTCAATAATATAGTAAGTGATAGATAGGTAATAAACAGAGCATTTTAAAATTTGGTAGTCCTGAAAAGGACCTTTTAAGTAGGTATGCCTAGTCCTCAAAAGAACTTTTTAAGTTGTTATGCCTAGTCCTCAAAAGAACTTTTTAAGTTGTTATGCCTAGTCCTGAATAGGACTTTTTAAGTAGGTATGCTTAGTCCTGAAAAGGACCTTTTGAGTAGGTATGCCTAGTCCTGAAAAGAACTTTTTAAGTTGTTATGCCTAGTCCTGAATAGGACTTTTTAAGTAGGTAGCTTAGTCCTTAAAAGGACCTTTTGAGTAGGTATGCCTAGTCCTGAAAAGGACTTCAAGTATGTCTAGTTCTAAAACTATTATGTTTTGTATGTTAAATTTATACTCCTATCTTTTTGACTAGAATACATGTTTATAATATCATCATAAAATGATTCAGTTTTTTTAAGTTGATTAATCAAGGACTTTTCAATTGATAGTATTGAAAGAGAACTTAAACGGACTTGTGAAATACTATTTCGAGAACAGGTTTTAATTCTTTTGAGGCAAGAGAAACTTCTTTCATTTGATACACTAGTTGATGGTATGGTTAAAATAAGAATAAATAATTTATAAGCTTCAGGTAAAATGTCTTTCAATGCATCTTGTTCAATAATTTTAACCATGTCATAAATGTGTAATAAATTTTGATATTTTACATCACTATACAAAACCTCCAATTCAACTTTTAATGTATTAATATTATAAAATATATTAGGATAAGTTGATTTCAAATTATTTAAAGCATTTCCAGGAAATGTACAAGAATATTCTTTAAATTTAGTTACATCAGCTAACTGCAAAAAAAGTAATTTATTTGTATCTTGAAATCTGGTATTTAATTGCATTAAAATATTATCAATTATTTCATAAAACAATATTTTAAAATTTGATTGATTGTTAGATTCATTTCTTGTAGCTTTTGGAGGTTTTGTAAGAGTAACTGCTTGATTAAATAATTTTAAAAATTCAGGTTCATTTCTTTTTTTATTTATAAGATCATATGTTATATTTATTCTTCTCAAGCAAAATTCTACATCAAATGATTTATTTTGGAGTATGTTAAATAAATTGTCAGTATATATGAATATATCACTAAATATCAGTGCTAAGAAAGCAAATTCAAAAGTTTTTAAATTTTTTAAATGACCAATAGCACCACAAATAGATTCAGATGACGATTTTGGATCTTTGCTAATACAGTCAAAAACATTAATAAACCCAGACCACTCATTAACTATTGTGTGTAAAATTTTTGACCGTGAGGACCATCTTGTTTGAACAAATTGAGGAATTCTTTTCCCTACAATAGTATCTACAAAATTAGTACGTGAAGTGGAATTGTGAAAATAAGCAGCGATACCAGTGAGGTTAGCAAAAAATATACGACATTTAGCATTTATACTACAACCATGTTGCAATACCAAATTTAATCTGTGAGCTAGGCAGTGTGTAAATAAAGCATTAGGTGCAACTTCCTTAACTCTAGCCTGTAAACCTGTTAAATGCCCAGACATTACACATGCCCCATCATAACATTGTCCAACTAATTTATTTTCTATATCAAACTCATGTAAAACAGAATTAACCAAATTAAATAAACCTTGAGCCGTGCGGTCTTCACTAACATTATGAAAACCCAAGAAACGCTCAACCAATTCAGATTTATCTGTAACAAATCTAATTATTATTGAACATTGTGTTTTTTGACTGATATCTGTAGTGTCATCAATTTGAATGGAATAAAATTTACATTGTTTGATTTCATTTTTTATTTGGTTTATTAAAAATTCAGAAATACATGAAATTAAATCATTTTGTATGGACTTGGACATACCTGAAAATATGTTTTTTATACTATTATAATGATTTTGAATTTCTTGAGTACACCTAATAATATGCATATCAAACAACTCTCTAAAATTCCCTTTATTTAATGAATCACTGCTTTCATCATGACCTCTAAATGCCAACTCTTGTTTTCCCAAAAATAAAACCAAATCGATTAAATGCTCCATAAATAAACGATTTAATCTCACATTCTCATTATAATTTTTTTTAAACAAATTGCCATGTTCATTAACAACATCTAGTATAGTAAAAGAATTTTTTTCCAGGTTTTTTAATCCTAAATGATTATGAATATGTTCTTTTGATGTTTGATGTATTTGTATACCTCTAGATAAATTTTTCAAATCATAATACCCAACAGTATTCCACACAGACTTCATTTTACCCAACAACAAACATGGCCAACAAAACAATTTTTGTATATAATGACTCCCACATAACCAAGAGTGTTGTTGATATAAATTTGGATTAAATGACCTACAGAATACCTTACTTAGTTTCTTGTCAGGAGCCAAAGCTGACAAAATCGGAATAGGCTTACCCACTTTTAGCAAATCATTTTTACTATCAGAATGCCATCGTCGAAACGGCGTCTCCAACAACATAGCTACCACGTCTGTCACTGGATACGTCATAACTCCAACAGTAATTAATTTAATAATGTTTATTACAAAAAACTGCAGCACTCGCACATATATTTTAACGTAGACGTTACGACGAACCGGAACCACCGAAAAAGTGTAAGACACAACTACACAAGCGACTATTCGTACAAGACGTCAAGACAGAAATGACTAATGACAAATATAAAATTATTATCAATAGATATTACAGCGGACAACGGTTTAATTAGGACTGCCCCGAGTCTCGATTGTAACAATAACATCTTTACTGATAAGTGATAATGTGTTTTTACGTTGAAATGCCGGCTGACTATATATTCCCGTATACCGAGTCTATTTTTAGTACATAAGGCGATGTTAGTCGAGCCTCGCAATGATCATTGCGCATGCGCAACTCTAGTTATTATATAGTCGCGTGCATTCGCGTACATACGCTTGTGTGTGTAATTCATGTACACAATAGTACATAATCCGAGGCGGAGTTGAACGGTGCCTTCTGACGTCATCGGAACGTTGCCGCCGATTGAAACACCAGCGTTTGTTTACGTAATAATTATTTCATACATTTCTTATCGGTTTATCACTATTTTTGGTAATAAACACTAAATGATAATATGATTTACCATATACAATATAATAAATGATAATTCATATTGTTAAACTTGGCAAAGAAGATTTTTTTCTCAAATAAAATCATAAAAACGTTAAAAATTATTATCGAAATATGTATATGCTATCGGTGGGCCAAAAATTATACTTTAATAGTATTTTTTACTTAAAATTGTAGGTTAGGCGGCGCCTCACTTGCCTCACCCCCAAAACCGCCACTGCTATTAATTAGTTCTGTACTCTTATCGATGTGGCTGCCCGGACGCTTATATTATTACTATTATCGGGTTGCGTGCCCTCTGCAGCATTTATATCTGTTATTGAATATAATATATTATATTATAAGCGTATTATACTTAATACAGCATAATATAATATAATATTTTATATATTATTACTATTATAATATGTACGTAGTCACAGCCCGTTACAATATCAATGAATATAATTTAAAAACATACCTATAATAATATAAAAAGTATATTAAAAAAAATAAAAATTAACTATTACTATTTTTCTTTTATAATAGTTTACGCTAAAGTTCTTAATGATAATGAAAAAAAAACAAATTATTTATATTAAATAGAATAAATAAAAAGCAATTCTTAAGATAATTTTTTTTCTTTTCTTTAGGACTTTAGTCAAAGTTTATGAATCTAATTTGAGTTGTAAGTATAGCTTAAGCAGGCACGTAGCCAGGGGGGCCTGGATGGGCCGGGCCCACCCTAAATATACTCTGGCCCAGGGCCCCCCAAATTCAAAATATAATTATTTTTACCAATTATCAAAAATGTGATTATGCACATTGAGAAAAATCTACTGTGATTACTACTAGGTAATACAATTATTATTGTAATAACTTAATTTTTATATTCGCAGAACCTTGGATAACTTTCTCTAAAAAAAATATAATATAATAGGGTCTTGATACCTATTTTATAAACAATAATAGACTAGCTTCAATATTTATATAAGTATAAGTGTATTATTAATGTTTTCTACTAGTATGTGTTTTTTTTAAAAATAAATTTGAGTTTCTTTAAAAATTATATTAATTTAAAAACCAATGATCATTTATCCCTATTATTTTTGATAAGTATTCAAATATAAATTAATTTTTGTTAATAGAAGTTGAACAATTGAAGCAGCTTATTATTTTAAATATGTGTGTAGATTTATTTTTCATAGCATGAAAAATGTATCCCATAATTGAAGATGAAGGTAATTCTATATTTATTTTTTTTATTATCAGGTAGGTACCTACTTTCTATTTTTGTAATTCTTAAATAGGTAAGTAATAGGTATAACTTGTTGTGAAAAAAAAAAAAAATTAACCAATTAAGTACCAACTAAGGGTAAATTATTTAAATTAACAAGATTCTTTGTATTGCATACCAACTACAAGAATTTCATAAAGACAAATTATGAAAAATAATAAAAGGGCCAAACATTATTGGCCCATCTAGTAGACATTCTCTGGCTACGTGCCTGAGCTTAAACAATACCTACTTATTCTTAAGCATCGACTATGATGACTACTTTTTATTTTTATTTTTAAATATTATGTTTAGTTTTTAAAAGAATGAGCATGTCTTTAACTATTTTACATTGAAAAAAATGACTGTTGGAACTTATAATTATTATTCCATTGACAATATTTTGATTTATTGTTTATTAGATTTTTGTGTTGGCGGAGTTTTTCAGAAGTTGTTATTATTATTAATTATGAATGGTTTAGTACTTTAATTGTAACATGTTTTTTGTCTTTCAAAAATGTAAAATATTATATTAACACGAGTAATAAATTATTAGATACCTCAAAATAATAAATATTAAATTATAATTAGGTATGAGTTGATAAATATAATTATGAATGGTATAAAAAATGGTTAGCCTGGTTAGGTACCTATATACTATTATATTAAACACAAAATATAATTATAACTGTAGTTTTTTAGAATAACTTTTTTCTTATTTTATCGTTGATATTTGTTCATGTTTAAGATTGTCATTTTCATTTTGTTTTCTGTTATCATTTTTTCTTCATGTGCATGCAACGGTGCGGTCCCTTAGATCATATACTATGGATGGAGCCACTGCGTATTATAGCAATACAAAAAGTTGAAGCCGATATTAGCGACGAGTCACCGAATTAGGTGATCGATATGCGCATGCGCGAAACAACTCGTTTAATATTAATATTATAATCACCAGCTGATAAATATGCGAGAGGTTGCGTTGCGCATGCGCATATCGAACACCTAATTCTGTGACTCGGCTGGGATGGGGACAGTTATAATATTAATATTAAACGAGTTGTTTCGCGCATGCGCATATCGATCACCTAATTCGGTGACTCGTCGCTAATATCGGCTTCAAAATAATATGCAGTGGCTCCATCCATAGTATATGATCTAAGTGCGGTCCGCAGCTGCAGCCGTAATCAAATAAATTCTTATCATGTTTCCGTGTGCGAACGGCCAGCTGCGTGACCGTTATCAATTTATGTTTTCAAAAGTCATATTATTCGTTCAAAGTTTTTTCTCGTCAAGTCATGCTTTCAGTGTCACAAAGTTATTAGTTTTTTCATGTTTAATTGTTTTAGTGTGGTGACACTGAAAGCCCATTCGTACAGTTCTCGTTGCATTTTGTATGTCCGTTAATGTAAAACTCGTCCCTTTTTCACACGACCTCCGAGGTGCACGGTTGTTCTGTGTTCAGTCAGTCGTCAGTATTTAATTCATTTTTTAAAATAGAATACATAGAGTCATAGACATTCAATTTCATTCTATACAATACATTCATCAATCATCATTCAGTTAATCATTTTGTGTACATCATCTGTGAATTGCCTTCTGTAAGTATCGTTCAGTCATTTGTTTTAGTTCTTTCATTAATATTATTCCCCAATTCAGGGCGTTCAAAGAGATACTTACAGAAGCACGTGAATTTTTGCCATTTGTGATTTGCATGTACACTGTGATTTATTCGTCTGAGTTCTAAAGGTAATCAGCTGACGAGCTGCATATTATTATTTATTATATTAGTCATTCATATTCTAGTCAGAAACTTTGTATTATTATTATTTGTATTATTTGAATTATTGTATTATTGTTAAAAGCCAAGAGGCTACATATTATATTTATATCATACTTAATTATTAGAAACCTGCCTGGCAAATTATTATTTTATTTATTTAATTAAAAGAAAAACAAATTATTATTATCATTGCTCAATAAAAAATTACAGAACTGCCAACACACATTGTTTTTTTTTCATTTTATATTCTACAAGCATATATATATATGATTCAGTCGTGAAGGCACAACTTATTTTATATTAATAAGAGCTGACAGCGGCAACATTTTGGTGACCTCGACGTGATATATTATTATTTATATTATATATGCTTTGTGTGGCAGTTATTAAAGTTGATTAAAAACTTATAGTCAAACATTAATCTCTAGTTATTAATTTAAAAATTGTTCAGGTTGGTTTACATCATATTATTCATCAAGTAATTTGAAAATTGTCATTATTACATTTAAATATTTGATTTATTATTTGTGAACCATTATTATTAATATTTTTTGCTATCATAAGAACAAAATTGTTTCCACATATAGGTGATTTAATATTATATTCTAACGTCAAGACATCACAACAACTCAAATTCATCTCAAGACATCATTCAACCTAACAACACCATGCCAACCAATCCAGATCCAAATGAGCTGCGCAAATGGAAGAGAAAGATTGATACACTATGTGCCATCATGGAAGACCATTTTGCTTTTGCTTCTCAATACACAAGTGAATCAAACAATATTTCCCAGGTCAAGGTAAGACTTGAGGAAATTAATGAATTTTCTGAGAAATTTGAAGAATATCAAGCTGAGTTAGAAATGTTAGAGGACAAAAAGGATGCTGAATGGATCAATGTTCGAAGATCATTCCGAAGCCGATTGTGTGATGTTAAGGCTGCGTTACTCAAAATCATAGATGATCATGTTATCCATCCAGACAATGTATCTAGTCCATCAATGAGCTCAGCCAGATCTCAACAACATTTAAATACATTCAACTCTATGAGGTATCCACCATGTGCTCTTCCTACATTCAGTGGTGATTGGCAGCAGTGGTCATCCTTTATAGATACATTCAATTCAATGTTTCATAATGAGCATTCAAACTTACCGCTAGTTCAACGCTTTCATTACTTAAGGTCATGCCTTGCAGGGCAGGCTAGTGATGTTATCAAATCTATTCCTACTACTGCAGAACACTTTCAATATGCTTATGATCTGTTGGTAAATCGGTATGAAAACAAGAGTGCTATAATCCAGTCACACATTCGCTCACTACTCGAGACACCCAAGGTGGTCTCACCGTCTTGTGGTGAACTGCAAAAGCTGCATCATCATGTCACATCTAACATCAATGCCCTCAAGTCCTTGCAGCAACCAGTCGAACAGTGGGATGCATGGTTGGTCACTCTTTTATGTAGTAAAATGGATAGTGCTACAGTAGGGGAGTGGTATCTACAGTATAAGAGTAAAGATCTGCCTTCCTACGTGGCTGTAGAACAATTTCTAGCTAACAGAATAACAGCCTATGAGGCAGGGGATATGAATCGTCTGTCAAGTGAACCAAGAAAAATGTCAACAAAAAGTTCAAATAACAAAACATATGAAAAAAAGGCATTGTTTGTAAAATCTAAAGAAAAAGGTTTTGGCAAATGTCCGTTATGTACTGAGCATCACAAATTATATGCTTGCAGTAAATTCAACAACATGAGTACAAATGATAGAAGGAACTTTGTGATGAAATCAAGGCTTTGTTTCAACTGTCTCAACTTTGGCCATCAAGTTTCTTCTTGTTATTTTCCTCCATGTCCTCGTTGTGGGGAAAAGCATAATTCAAAGCTTCATGAGGAACAAGCAAACACCAGTAATCAAGATGCTTCTATCGCCAATGATGTTGACAGACCTGAACCCCATGCAACAGCTATGTACACTGAAATATCAGCTCAGGAAGCTGAAAATCTAAATGTTATTTTAGCCACTGCCATTGTCAATGTATGCGACACTTTTGGGCGCATGCATTCATGCCGAGCTGTCCTGGACTCTGGTTCTCAATTAAATTTCATTACAAATTCTTGTGCTAAAAGACTTAACTTGTCTACTGCTTCGCATACACTTAACATTGTTGGAGTCTCTGCTATGGCATCAACAGCCAAACAACTCCAAGATACGATTATGACCTCACGTTTTGGTGATTTCAAGACAACTATCAAGTTCTACTCTCTGCAGACTATAGTCAGTGCCTTGCCTTCTCAGGTGCTCATTCGGGACAACTTGAAAATGCCTCATAACATACACAACCAGTTGGCAGATCCAAACTTCCATAGTCCTGGTCCTATAGATGTGTTATTAGGTGCTGATATATTCTTTGATGTACTTTATGGTGAAAAGTTTCCATTATCAAATTTAGCTTGCTTGCATCGTACCAAGTTGGGATGGATAGTAACAGGCAAAATCTCAACTTTGTCAACTCCTCATACATTACCAAACCTCATGATACAGAATCAATCTGCATTATCGTTCTTCACGTCAAAGACCAATCAACGTATTCTTGAAGAGTTCAAAGCCGAAGAGCATTTTCAATCAACTTTTCGTCGGCATTGCAGTGGGAGATTCATAGTGAAGCTACCAATGGCACAAGATCCCAAGGTACTTGGTGATTCATTAGACATGGCTCAAAAAAGATTTTTAAATCTAGAGAGACGACTTCAAAAAGATAAAGTACTCACTGAACAATACGATAAGTTCATTGCTGAATATATTGCCATGGGTCATATGGAATTAGCATCACCGGCCATTCATAAGCCTACGTATTACCTGCCACATCATCCAGTGTTTAAGACGGACAGCACCACTACAAAGATGCGCGTTGTATTTGATGGCTCTGCGGCATCCAAGTCAGGACTGTCACTGAATGACATTATGCTCAGGGGCCCGAAAATGCAACCAGATATTTTTAACATATTGTTGCGTTTTCGATTACATCGCATTGCTTTAACTGCTGATGTGGAAAAAATGTACCGACAGGTGCTAGTGTCCGATGAAGACTGTGATTTGCAGCGCATTGTATATCGTTCGCAACCTGAAGAACCACTAAGGCATTATAAACTCAAGACAGTCACATATGGAACAAAATCAGCCTCTTTCCTGGCTACACGCTGTCTCCATGAGCTTGGTGCGCTCATTGAAAACACACCCATAGGTAGAATCATATGTCAGGATTTCTATGTAGATGACCTGATAAGTGGGGGTGACACTGATGAAGAATGTTTTGATATCCATAAACAAGTTCACTCAATCCTTGGTACTGCTGGATTTCCGTTGCGTAAATGGTGTTCAAGTTCGTCAACCCTCCTTAACAGCCTTCCACATAATCAGAAGGATCCAAATTTTATGATAAATCTTACTGAAACTGAGGTGTTGAGCGCGTTGGGACTTCTTTGGCAACCATCTATAGATAGCTTTCGGTTTGCAATGAAAAACTGGAATGCTCCTCAACACATAAGTAAGCGCACACTCCTATCAGATATAAATAGTGTCTATGATCCGCTTGGACTATTATCATCAGTGTTGATCAAAGGCAAGATTTTTATCCAGCAAGTATGGAGTCTTAAAGTAGGTTGGGATGACATTTTATCAGAAGAGATAAGATCAAAATGGTTAAAATTTTATTCAAGTTTGGTTGCACTCAATGGATTGATTATACCAAGACTAGCATTACTACCTGAGTCAGACAGTTATGAACTTCATGGTTTCTGCGATGCATCCCAACATGCCTACGGTGCTTGCATTTACATTCGATCCAGTAAGCAAGATGGTGATGCTGAAGTTAAATTGTTTACGGCTAGATCTCGGGTTGCGCCAATTAAAACCACCACTATTCCCCGTCTGGAGTTGTGTGGCGCGTTATTGCTGTCAGAGTTAGTAAACGAGATTAAAGATGAATTTTCAAATATAAACATTAAATTGTCTACAGAAAACATACACCTGTGGACAGATTCAACTATTGTTCTTGCATGGTTAAATAGTCTAAAACCACTTCAAGTTTATGTTGCCAACAGAGTTGCCCAAATCAATGAGCTCTCATGTGAAATTCAATGGCATCACACACCCACAGCTGATAATCCTGCAGACCTCATATCCAGAGGAGTTGATGTTGGGACTATGGTCTCATCCGAGTTATGGTGGCAAGGGCCAAAGTGGCTCAAGAAGGAAAGGTCCTGTTGGCCTGACACACCAATTTTGCCATCGGAGATACCTGAGATACGCAAAGTCAAATTAATCTTAGCAACCACGAATAAAGAACCTTTCTGGCTGTTGAAGAAGTGTTCTACGTGGTCCAAATTGTTAAGAACAACAGCTTTAGTTCAACGTTTTGTTTCTAATTGCAAAGCCAAACAGTTAAACCATGAGCGGTGCAATGGATTAATTTCTGTGGATGAAATGAATAAAGCCAGAAATTTTTGGTTAATGCAAGCTCAGTCTGAGTCAATGTCAAACGAAATAGCAGATTTGCGTTCTGGTAAGATGGTCCATCGTGGAAGTTGTTTAAAAGCCTTAAACCCATTCATTGACGATCAGGGGTTGGTCAGAGTAGGAGGACGGCTTGCTTATGCTTCTGGCCAATACAATACAAAGCATCCTATTGTTCTACCGTCAAAATCATTGATTACCAAGCTAATTTTTAATTATGAGCATATTCGGCTCATGCATGCAGGACCACAGGCATTGCTCGCCCACGTAACACTGAACTATTGGCCAATCCGGGGAAGACAGATTGCAGCACAAATCGTCCGAAAATGTGTAACCTGTTTCCGAGCGAGCCCTCAATTTACTCCACCATTAATGGCGCCTCTGCCCAGCGTACGCGTTACTATTGCTCGACCATTTGCCAATAGTGGAGTAGATCTGTGTGGCCCAATATTCGTTCGCAGTGGGCTGAGAAAGGTATCACCGACAAAAAGTTATATTTGTGTGTTTATCTGCATGGTTACTCGTGCCATCCATTTAGAATTAGTGTCATCACTGTCTACTGAAGATTTTTTGGCTACACTATCTCGTTTTATGTCACGGAGAGGTCAATGTATGGACCTCCACAGCGACAACGGCACAAACTTTGTAGGTGCAGACCGTACACTTAAAACATATTTCAAGGCAACTGTAAACAGCAATAAAGTACATGATTTTCTTACTATGCGAGAAATTAAGTGGCACTTTATACCACCTGCTTCCCCACACTTTGGAGGGTTGTGGGAGAGTGCAGTCAAGTCAGCTAAAAAGCATCTTCTCCGAGTGTCAAAGGGAGTGTTGCTAACATTTGATGAAACCAGAACTTTACTATGTCAAATTGAAGCTGCATTAAACTCTCGGCCTCTATCTCCACTTTCATTAGATCCAAACGACTTCAATGCACTTACACCAGGGCACTTCTTAATTGGTGGTCCACTCATGCTACCACCTGAGCCCGATGTATCATCCATACCGCAGAACCGCTTAAAACGATATTCACTTATGAGGCAGCAAATGCAGCTCTTCTGGAAGCGGTGGTCACAAGAATATTTGCCTCAACTCCACCGAAGAGGTAAATGGACCAAGCCGAATCGAAATTTTTGTGTTGGTGATCTTGCAGTCTTGCGTGACGACAACATGCCACCCCTTAAATGGCCATTAGTCCGCGTAGCAGCAGTTCATCCTGGGGCTGATGGTGTTGTTAGGGCGGTGACCGTGCGAAATTCCACTGGGTCTGAATTTCGACGTCCAGCAATCAAGTTATCCCTACTACCCACCGAAAAGGATCACGATGATGAAGATTAGGGATTTAAAAAAAAATTATGTTTTTCATTATTATTGTTACTATTTTATAATTTATGTTGATATTATTTAGTTGGGCTGTGTTAGCCACATCTCTTAAAAATGAGTTATTTTTCATTAATCATATTAGTATTATTCAAGATTCATGTTTAAAGAATGCATACTCCTCTGTCAGCTTCCGATTATTTAATTTGTTTAGTATATGATATGTAAATTTTGAAAGATAGGTACTTTCAAAGGGGGGAGTATGTTCATGTTTAAGATTGTCATTTTCATTTTGTTTTCTGTTATCATTTTTTCTTCATGTGCATGCAACGGTGCGGTCCGCAGCTGCAGCCGTAATCAAATAAATTCTTATCATGTTTCCGTGTGCGAACGGCCAGCTGCGTGACCGTTATCAATTTATGTTTTCAAAAGTCATATTATTCGTTCAAAGTTTTTTCTCGTCAAGTCATGCTTTCAGTGTCACAAAGTTATTAGTTTTTTCATGTTTAATTGTTTTAGTGTGGTGACACTGAAAGCCCATTCGTACAGTTCTCGTTGCATTTTGTATGTCCGTTAATGTAAAACTCGTCCCTTTTTCACACGACCTCCGAGGTGCACGGTTGTTCTGTGTTCAGTCAGTCGTCAGTATTTAATTCATTTTTTAAAATAGAATACATAGAGTCATAGACATTCAATTTCATTCTATACAATACATTCATCAATCATCATTCAGTTAATCATTTTGTGTACATCATCTGTGAATTGCCTTCTGTAAGTATCGTTCAGTCATTTGTTTTAGTTCTTTCATTAATATTATTCCCCAATTCAGGGCGTTCAAAGAGATACTTACAGAAGCACGTGAATTTTTGCCATTTGTGATTTGCATGTACACTGTGATTTATTCGTCTGAGTTCTAAAGGTAATCAGCTGACGAGCTGCATATTATTATTTATTATATTAGTCATTCATATTCTAGTCAGAAACTTTGTATTATTATTATTTGTATTATTTGAATTATTGTATTATTGTTAAAAGCCAAGAGGCTACATATTATATTTATATCATACTTAATTATTAGAAACCTGCCTGGCAAATTATTATTTTATTTATTTAATTAAAAGAAAAACAAATTATTATTATCATTGCTCAATAAAAAATTACAGAACTGCCAACACACATTGTTTTTTTTTCATTTTATATTCTACAAGCATATATATATATGATTCAGTCGTGAAGGCACAACTTATTTTATATTAATAAGAGCTGACAGCGGCAACAATATTTTTTCCCTTAATTGTTTTTTTTTTTAGAATAATTATTTTTTAGTATCTGTGTACTAGTTACTATAACTATATTAGCAGCTGTCATTAATTTAAAAACAGAAATACGTAAAAAAATTATATTTTGTACCCACGCATTTTAATTAACAACTAAAATATGTTAATAGGTATACCTACTTCTGGAAATATATTTTCTAATATATAATTTTCAGTTAAAATATTTCCTTGGAAAATATTTTATGCAAACATTTGTTATGCATCATAACATTCTGTAAAGTTGTGTTCTGTTATATTCCATTCTGGAATAATACACTCAGCAGAATTTCTGCAATATTAGTTTCTGTATGTTTACATTCTACTGATATATATTCTTATCAGTTTACATTCTGTAGAATTTATTTTCGTTCATATTATTTTCTGTTCAAATATTTTCTGGGCTTTTTATATTCTGGTTGTTTTCAATTCTGTAATATTATTTTCTGTAAATAAACATTCGACAAATCTACATTCTGGCCGTTTTTTTTCTGGAACATTATATGCGTCCATCAAAATTTGCAGAAATTTACAGTGCAGCCAATAAAAGAAAAATAAATTTTTTTTAAATTTCGACTTACGAGGATTTGCTGTGTAGCCGACGATTTATGATCGATATAACAATCCACTATTTCTAAATAGTTTTATTTCTTTTTGCTATGCCTTCCGGTAAGAACTTCAGCGTTGGACGTACAAATAGCCAATGCGTTCTAACCAGGCCCGTAGCCAGACCAAATTTTCAGGAGGGGCAAAGCAAATTTTTGGGGGGGCATTATATATAAATGTATTAAATATTAATGCAATTTTTAATTTATTTACATTGATATCCCATTAAATTAACACAACTATAATTTTCTATCTAATAGTAATAATAATAATAATAATAATAATCCATTTATAATAGAATATTTTGGGAATTTACAATGAAACATTTGTTTTAAAGTTACAAAACGAATAATACTAAATAATAAAAATAAAACTTATATTAAAGTTTACATAGATAATTATAATATTCATCATATTCACTGATGTTACGTGGTTAAATTTTGAACATTTTAATATTAATTAATACAGCTTCAATTTTCTATTATTCTGCTTGTTGAAGTTCGTTAATAATAGGTCCATGTTTAAGTTTTCTGTCCGTTTGGACTCAAATGCCAATAAAGTTAAGTTGGAAAGCCGGTTATGTGACATTGATTGCCTTTGAGGATTGTCAACTCTGTTTAAGCAGGAAAATGTCGATTCACAAACTGCTGAGCTACATCCAAATACTTCAACTGCTGCTATCATTTCATATGTAGCTTTAAATGCTTTACGTTGTTGATAAAGCTCTAACAAAATGTTCTTATTAGATATATTATTTTCTTTTAAATAATTTTTTACACAAATTATTTCTTCTTTTGAAGGAATATTAATTTTAAGATCATTAAATATTTTAAAATCATCGTAATTCAATTCGTATATGTTAGAAACAGCTTTAATAAGTTCATCATTTTTTTCAAAACGAGTTTCCATCTCAGATTTAATTATATCAATAACTTCATAAAATGTAGATAATAATGAAATATTAATATCGTCGTTGACATAATTTGTATAAGTACCAGATGATTCACTTAAAATATATTCATTCAATTTTATAGTAGTCTTTCTCTTGCGTTTTGGAGATTCAGTTTCGGTTTCAGGTAATAAATTTTCACAGTCTTTTAAAATTGCATTGAACACTTCTTCATTTCTTGATTGTTTTAAACTATTAATCACGCTATGAATAATTGGAATTGCTAAGGTTAAACCAGTTTCTCTTGATTGCAAAATTTTATCGGCTGGTTTGATGTATCTTAAACATTTTAACATAAGACACAATGCAAATCTAAATGTTTTCTTTTTCATTGTTAATGAGAGTCCTGCACATTGAGCTACTTCATTGCCATCAAATGATTTTCCATGCACTTTTTTTAGACAATTTATCATATCATCATAATTATTATATATAATTTCACATATTTTTAAATGGCTAGACCAACGTTGTTCTAACAATCTAACTGTATTATTGCCTTCGTATAATGTGTTTATTTTAAATGTGTTAAATACTTTATGAATGAGCCTACACTGATCAAAAAAGTGACCAATTTCGGTCACTTCCGACACTGCTTTGACAATAACCAAATGCAATTGATGATTATAACAATGTACATAGGGAATAGTTCGATTAAGCTTTTTTTGCATTAAAGCCTGAACACCACCTTTAGTACCACTCATCACGCTAGCGCCATCGTAACATTGGCTGAGCATATAATCAGTATTAATATTTAATGACTTTAAAAGATCAAGTGTCATTTGCACAAAATAAGCTGCATTTAAATTTGTTGCATTTTTAATTGCTAATAAAGATTCAATTGGTTTTCCATTTTTTACGTATCGTATGGCTATGGCAATATTTTCCCGATTATTATTGTCTTTAGTTCCATCCTCCATTATAGTATACCATGGGACATCTGCATTTTTTAAATCTTCTACAACACTATTTTGCACAGCGTTATGCATAATATTGATAGTTTCATTTTGAATGAAAGGGGATAAATAAGTAGCATTTTGAGGAATTAATTTAGCGCATTCTGCAAGTTTAGTGTCTTTTTTAAGAGTGTACCGAAAAAGTGATTGAAATAAACCTTTATCTTCGTGCATTTCTAAATCAAAATCCCCACGAAGTGGTAATTCATTCACGACTAAAAATATGATTATTTCAAAAATTGATTTTACATAATATCTATGTTTTTCGAGAACGTTTTCATTCAACAATGTTGAAATTTCTGTAGTCGTTTCAACACGTTTTTGTTTATCTACCAATTTTGTTATACAAATACGGTGCGATGAAGAAGATTGATGTTTATAAAACCCTTTATTATTTTCCAAAGCTTTTTTCCAGTTAGAATATCCTGTCACAGAAAATGCAATTTCTTTAGTCTCATTATTACCAAAAATTCTGCATGGATAGCAAAATGCAACATTTTTTTCTGGACAATATTCAAGCCAATCAAATAATTTGAACCATTGACTTCTAAAAGATCTACCACCTACATTAGGATACGTCGGAAGAATTATTTGATTTTTTTGATGTGTTTGAAAAATCGGTTGATTATTTGTTTTATTAATTATTGAAGTGTTCTCTGGTGTTTTATTATTATTTGAAGTACTTTCGGACATTTTATTATTTTCGGTAGTATTTTGCGACGAGTTTTTGGTTGTTTTGATTACCCATGAATCCATATTACGTATTTATGTTTGATAAAATCCAAAACTAAAAATAATATTTATTTTGTTTAATTACCTATTAAATTATATTAATTATATATATTTTAATTTTATTATATTTATAAATAAAACATTTTGCTCATTCAATTTGCTTCAATTTTAATCATAATAATATAACAATTTATTAACTTACCTTATAACAGTGATATAATTTCTTGGCACACGTGTACTGCTGCAGTCGGCAATAAAATGAAAGAATATTTAGGTGTTCTATAATAAAATGTCAATTGATAGGAAAGTATTGAGCTACGATAACGATAGCAATCAATTTGCCAACAGTCGTCGTGACACGTCAGTATCGTCGTCATGGCCCGGAATTTCCGAAATAAATACTATAAAGGTCCCCACACACTGCAGCGGTGGCGGTGGCGGTGGCGGTAAATTGATGCAGGACAC